AGTGATATAACTTGCACCAAGATTCATTCAAGTAATTTTTATAGGGAAGCTTTATCATAGTTGCAAAAGCATTCGGTATAGAATCTAAACCTTAATAGTTAGTTTGCATGTGCTGCTGCTACAATATAGCACTTAGAGGATAAACATAAACGAAATGGTCATAAATATATAAAAAGATACCACCCAGCAGGTGATACTGGGCGGAAAGACACTGCGTAAATCATCTCTGAGGGGAGATAAAATTTTCCCTATTCACCTTCGGGGATGATGAACACGGCTCACACGCGAACATTGCCAGTGCCCCCCGGTAAAGCCACGTTGTGGTATTTCGCGTTTTGAAAATTCCAACACAGCCCTGAAGCTTCCCGAGCGAAATACCACAAGGTTGCTTAGCCTATACAAGCGAAGAAAGATGTGGCGTCTCTAACTGTTTTGTTTATAGGGTTTTAAATTTTATTAGGAGAAGGTTGCTGGTCTCCTATGTACTTTTCAGCAATGAACTTTCTACTATGGATTCGCCAAACTGTGAGATGGAAATATTTTTTTCAACATTGACTTTCTTTTTTAGTACGTTTTCAATATAATTTTTAATTCACTCTAAATTGCTTATTTCAGACATTTATACAAGAGAAATATGTACAAGATGTAAGGCAAAAGGAAACTGATATGCCTCCGAACGAGGCCTTTACCCCGGACTTAACATGTCCGACAACAGAAACAGAAGTCAGCAACAAAAGCAAACAAAAGCAAAAAAACAGAAATAATCATCTCCTCATTGTGGAGTTGCAAATACAAAACAAAAGATAAGACAAACTTTGACATGAATATAAGAGAAAAAAGTTTTTACAAACTGTAATAGACAAAGTAAATATCTTTGCATATGAAACACGTACAATACAAAGCAAAAGGTAAACATCAACTCTTTACGATATATTATTGAAAGCCTATACATTTGTAGGAGACATGAGAAGTAGTTACCAATTGAAGTAAGCAATAAAATTACGCTCTTTTTGACCGAAATTAAAAAAAAGAAATTGAGCAGTTAAGAGATTAGATATTCATCATAGTATATTAGTAAATATATAATCAGCATACTCACGTACTGTCAAACCGATCAATAGCATTAGCCATAAGCATCGCAGCCATCGTTCCAATGGAGCCAAAGTTCAGTGCCCTGCCAAAAGGAAGAGAATAAATATTGATGTAATCCTTGTAAATCCCGCAAAAATTTTGACGACAGATACCTTGGCACTGGCGGTCTTCTATAGTGTGGCACGAGTGCTGCCGCCGGCAGTACTGCAATGCGAGAATAGTAAAGAAGATCTTAGGGGGTATACTCGATGCGTATTATCGACAAGATATTTCCGTTATCGTTATCATACAAACTAGTTTTTGTTTATTCAACGTGGACCTCACGCATAGGTAATTCAGTCGTGAATTCACGCAGAATTGTTTGTAGAAATTGGGCTAGCCGCAACACTTGGCGTAGCTCTTGATATTTAGGCAGTTGGATATCCTGTCACTGTGGCGTGACGTTTCCTTCGACTACAATGTCATTATGTTCAAGCGATATAAAAACTCCTTCGAAACAAAAAGAGGAACTGTAAAGCAATAGTCTTGCAAATTGAGTACATTCATTCTATAATATTTGTGGTACAGGAAACTTACTCCTTCATATCGAGTAAGTCAAATTTCAATGAAAAACTACTTAGGGCATTTCTTATCAAAAATATCTGAGTGGACTGGCACAGGGATTTCATTATTCGATTTTTCTTTGCCTACTCTTATTTTTGTGTCGCTATATTTTCTTAATAGCTTATATGCAGGAGCGATGACCCGTAACTCGCTCAAACAAGATGTAAAAAAGTTTTAAAGACGATAGTCTTGCTTGGAAACCTTAGACGCAAATATTTTGATCTGTCTATCTGTACGTTTGTCTGTTTGTTCACTATTAATGTTACCGGGTACTTGGAACGGCACCAGCTGATACCACAAATGGCCGACCCCATCCGTAGCACCCACCAATGTTGCTCAAGACTCAGCGTTCATACATGTGCGATTGTCAATTAAAAAGCATTTATTGCGTATATCTGAAGCACCATAACAACACATACCTATTCTGCATGTGCGTCTTTTACTAGAAAAGGTATACATAAGGAATTGTAAAGACAGCAGCGTTTATCACGCTGCTCGGATTATGCACCGGTTGCACGAAAAGGCGAGTGTTTCCAACTCTTTACTAAGACGACACGGTGGTGGCACCTGCCCGTAGCCTTGCTTTCTACACCTTATCACCACTGAGACGGGCGCGCGTGTCCGTCTCAGAAGTGATAAGGTTCCAAGAACACTGCCAGATGGCGCTCATGTAGCACGTGTGGCGTGACTTGATGTGCTAGTTCACCTCCGCTGCACGCTCGAGGCACTCTCACGCAGCGCCTCCAGAATACCATTCACCGATTTTCTTGAGCAGAACATCAAATAAATGTTTTGTTCTCTCCACACGCAAGACTATCGTCTTTCGACGACACTTGCAGATCAACACGTAGATACGGGGGCCAATTTTTTAACAGAAATCTCCATTCCGCTCTTTATTTGTTTTTCGTAAGAGCTATTCTGGCGTCGTTGCATCATGCAAAGACCTCCTTTTTTAATTGTAGTATTACAGTGTAACAAGCTGAAACAGAGAGCAGCTTTTTTGGTGTTCGCTGCTTACTAAAGATTTCTGCTTGTCCTAAAGTCACCAAGGAAGCTAGGAACTTTTTGTAAGTATTATTACTCAAGATTGATTCATATTGTATTAAGCATGATACTATTGAAGACACCTTAACGACGATCTTACTGATGGCGTGTTTTGCAGTTACCCCGCACTGCATGCGCAAAATCAACAAGTGAAGCCGTGAATGACTGACAGCACTCACCGAGCGTGTCGCTTCGTTCTATGTAGTATGGATGAGAAAATAGGGCGACAGCCGCAAATCTGCAGGAATAAAAATGAGACAAGGACATTACACATTGACTTCGAAAACGCTGCCAACAGTACTTTCTTCAATACGGTGTAGAGGCTGTTGAGGTGAGGAGGAAGGTGTCAACCTCAAAACAAGAGTATTGCCTAGTTCTTTGATGAGCCTTCTCGTGCGAGGATCACAGCTAGAATATCGGGACTGGGTAGGTAATTAGAAAACTCTAAAACGAAGCTAGCAGCTTTGCAGGTCATCTTATTATTTTCTAATGATATATAAAATATATAAAACTAAGTCCCAGAACGCGAAAAGATCCCCATATATACCGTTATAAGAGTTCCTAAAATTATTCTGGAAGATATTCAAAATGTACAATAACTTTATTAACGTATTTATTTCTATATTTACTGCAGGTCACATGACCCTACCAGGAGTGAGAATACAAACTTATTATCATAAACACTGGGCAACAAAAATGGAATTCAAGCTACAATAACAAAATAAAAGAAAAGATGGAATTAATGTGATGCAGGTGAAAAATACACAATGGTAATATGGGGCAAATGGGTGGGGACACAGAAATAAGGCAACAAATTATCAAGTGAAAAAAAATAACGCTAGGCCTGCACTGTAGGCGCAGCACAGTCACAGTGAAAGGTAGAGGAGCAGCCTTTCATAGCATTTTCAAAGCTCTCATGGGGTAACTACTGGAAGCACACGTGCTTGGTTCCCACTAGGTCACTAATAATAAATGTTTGGGTAGCAGGCCGGCATTCGCTATGCTATATTTCTTCATTCTTCTGAGAATGGTGGTATGCGCTAAACACATGCTGGGAATTTTGTGCCAATTGTCCATGCAGTGGCTGACACGATGAGGAGTTATGACTGAATTGTGTATGCCCCACAGTTAATGGGGAAACAAGAACAAGCTTTTGTGATGGGTTGGAGCATTGGACGGCCCACTCGTTACGCTAATCGAATTGTGCGACGACTGGTGTTTCTTTCGCTGTTGTAAAACGCTCTATATGTCTAATTAACACGATTGCTTTGCCGACATCAAGTCTGTCTAAAGCAAGTTTGACAAGTCACAAGCACCGGAGTAGCTCAGTGGTAGAACTCGAGTCCGCTGTGCTAGCACCCAGTGGACCCCGGTTCAAGCCCCACTGTGCCATTGGTGCTAGGTCATGCCTGCCTAAGGCAAGTTTGACAACAAGTTACAAGCACCGGCGTAACTCAGTGGCTGAATATTGGGCTGGCACCCAGCGGAGCCGGGTTCAAGCCTTGATGTATCATTGGGGCTAGGCTTTTTTTTTCTAATTTCGCACGATATGGTTACGGACACCAGTGGCGGCGGTGGCGGCAGTGGTGGCGGCGGTGGCGGTGGACAACATGCAACTGTGCGTGACCCGTGTTGTGATCTCACAATAGCTTTCGCTGTAAAAAAAAAAGAAGAACCAATTTTTATTAACAGGAAGAAACGATACTGCTCGAAAAGTAACCTAACAGGGGGTACTCGACCGTGCTAAGTACAATATCCAGGTAATATTGGGTGAGTGCTTCATTGATTGAACCTCAGGATTACCTCGAGGACAGGATGTATGCGTTAGCTGGAGGTTCAAGCTGCACGCGCATACTTTTTATTAAGAGCTTATTTCAAAATATCACTAAGGCTGAAAGCAATCATTGTGTCAACATCATGTGGATCAAGGTAACACCAGAGTCTCCAAACTAGCCTGCCGACTTATGTAGCGTTTTTCTTCAGATTATTCTGAAATGCGAGTTTGACGGCTAAGCGAACGTGTCGATGGTCACGCTATATGGTTTCTACGTCACACCACTCTTTTAAAAGACAATTATTTGGCACCTTCATTTCGATTCCTTTTTTGTAGTTGGTATTTATGCTGGTGATACATAGTCTGACAGAACTCAGCTTCTTTACTCAGGCTGCAACAAACTTGGCTAATCAGGAAAATATGTCGGCTAGCTGAGGATAAACATACGATGAGATATGGACTTACTCTCTGTATATATATTCCTCGCTCAGTTTTACAAGCTCCTGGTAGCGACTGTTTTCTTGTATCCAAAATATGTGCTCAGTGAACGATGTAGTTTCCTTCAGGAGGGGAATCTGAAAATAGTCGTAGTCTGTAGCAACTTCATTGCTGAATTTTCAGGAACGTTTGTATCAATCCATACGCCATGGACTCTCTACCGAATAGTCCATGAACTAGAGACCGCAGCATCGTCACATAAAATGAGCTACAATACGCTTTCTAGAAAGCGTGTTGATTTGTCCTTCTATAGTAAACATGCGCGCTTAAACAACACCTGTGAAGCCTAACAGAAACGAAAAATTTGTTGAAAGTTGGCCTGAGGAAAAAGTACTACTTGGGCATGTTCATAAATAGAACGAGCAGGCAAGTTTACACATCGTAGACTAATTACGGTCTGTGTGAATAATAACGCTACTACTCAATATTGAGAACCCCCTTCATTGTAAATGATCTGTTCCATATCATGCTACAGTATGCTGAATTTAGCTCTTCATGAGGGCGAAACGGTGGAGCAGAATGGCTATCGGTTAGTTTCCTAAATATATTTTCAGTGCCAGCACTTAGACGAAAAGGTTTGTTGCTTTCGTATTTGACTCGTATATAAAAAATAACATTTATGATGCATTTATGACGCTTTAAAAATCGCAACGCAAAAGCTGCATTTGAGCTTACTATTGAATTATAAAAGTGCCACCAGATTGAGTCAACAATAAAACTCGAAGAATTATTATTTTTTGCTGGGCACAAGAGCTGAACCCACTGCAGAGGCTATTAGTTGAACTACTTAGTGTAATAACATGTGTACGTGAGTGTGTGCATTTGTGTGCGTCTGTTTATGTGCGTGTGTGTTTGCGTGACACTGCGTGTTTGCGTTTGCGTGTGTGAGTTGTGTGCACGTGTGCATGTGTTTATGCGTGTACGTGTATGTACGGGCTTGTACGTTTTTGTGTGCGTGCACGATCTGTGCGTGCATGCAAACGCCTGTTTGAGTATGTGCACGATTGAGTCTGCGTGTGAGTATCAATATGCGTATGTGTTCGTTAGCATGGTATGTGCGCGTGTGTATGTTTGCGCTTGTGTGCCTCTGTTCATCTGCATGCGTGTGTGTGTGCGTGCTTGTGTGTGTGTGTGTGTCTATATATGTGCGGTTGTGTGCGTGCGTGCTTGTGGAGTTTATGTAAGCATGGGTTTATGTATGCGTGCCTGATCACGTGGTCTCTTGTGTGTGTGTGTTTGCACATGTATGTGCGTGTGTTGCGTCTGTATGAGTACGTACGTGTGTGTGTGCCTGTGTGTATGCATGTCTGTCTGTGTGCGTGAGCACGCTTGCGTGGGCGTGTATGTGCGTGTGTGCGAGTGTGTGTGTGTGTGTGTGTGTGTGTGTGTATTTGTGGGCCTATGTGTAGGAAAGATGGCGGTATAAGTGCACTTTTTTTCTGCATATGTAAAGTATCGAGGTAAGCAGGATGGTAGCGTAGATATTCCCTTAGCGTAATCAGTATCAAGGTGACGCTGGACTGCTTTGTCAACTCTCCACGGACACTGACAGTGCCTTCATAAAGTGTAAGCGCCAAACGTTGAGCCAACAATGGTGCTTGGGCATGTGAAACTACAAGTACAGCAGTACGCCTACGTATCTTTGTGGAAATATTGCAAAAGTGGCCCGTCTGTCTCCTCTGTACCGTGTCAAATTGTGTTATTCACACCCTGTACAGATAACTTTACTTTTCATTTTTTTTTCACATTTTTGTCATTGTATGGCCAATGTAAAAACTCTCGCATTTTGAAATTGACGTATATCTCTTGGCTCTTTACACGTTTGCTTTTCTTACCTAATTACTTACGCGGGCAGAAAGAAAACAAAATATGGACGTCTCAAACTGAGCGTAAGCCTTTTACCCCACTGTTATGTGCTCTGGTGTTACGCGAGCTTCCTAATAAGTAAATAAATAAATAAATAAATAAATAAATAAATAAATAAATAAATAAATAAATAAATAAACGTTTATACCTGCGTAAATCGATTAAGTGTCATTGTATATGTTCATTTCCTTTCAGCACTTGTCATTTATAAAGTAGTCAAAATACAAAAAAAACACAAGGAATTGCTAATGAGGAAAATCCGCAGCGTCGGTAAAGAGAAGAGCAACTCAGAAAGAAAAAAATCACTCACGTATCTATACAGATTGTCCACTACAGTGTCATCCATCATCCAGTCAGGATAGCCAACCACTGTTTCCATTCTCGCCAACTGTAATCATTTCGAGCTACTATTAACATGGATTGAATGTGCTTACACGGTAGCACCTGTTAGCTAACTGCGCTTCAAACAGAACAATCTCACTCGTTCAGCAGCTTTGTTCTTAGTCAAGTCCGTCATCCACTTGTTTTCTAGGATGATCACTTTGAAGGACGCTTTGATGAATTGCAACATCTTGTGCACCTATTAAAATATAACGAAAACTGGTGATCTGGTTATGCACGAGCGGGTAGCATAAAAATTGCTTACGTTCTTGCGGTCGTATTTGTCGAAGTTATACTTGATATAAAGGCTGGTTCCTGCAGTGAGCATCGTTTCTGGCTTCAGTAGTCGCAAGAGGCAAGATTTTCCTCACGTTCTTCCTTGCAGATGAACGTGTGAGGTTTGTCGTGTTGAAACTGTAGGTCATATACAGGTCGTGAAGAGAAGTTCCTTCCACGTTAGCCATTGATCTTATGTAACTCCATGCGATGTAGTTCTTGATGGCTATCCTAAAAAGAATTAAATCAACCAAAGCACATAAAAATGTTGTCGCTGTTTTCCCAACGCCGCAGTTCTGGGCTGCCTCTTGGCAGCTCAAGATATTCAGAGGCATTAGTAAAGGCGAGAAAACATTACAATTTATGTTTCAGAACCCCAACTTGGAATTTAGCACAAAGCTAATTTTAGGGACCACCTACAGTATCAATAAGTGTTCCACCTAGCGTAATAGCATAAGCCCTATACATCTTTTTCTACTTCATTTGCGCTTAAATTATAATTAGCACCAAATCGGTGACACATCTTTACGCCGTATGGTGCATACTCTGGGACGGAACATTCATGGACGTGGATGTACCATAACTAGGCCATTTTTCTAGACTAGAGCCTTTAACATAAAAGCGTACCTTTTGCATAGAATGAACGTCACCTCCTACGTAATTACTGCAGGTTCCCTTAGAATCATCGGGTCGGGTATGACTGCCGCAGACCACTTTAGTTAGATGACTGCTACGTTTGGTGAATTTGTCAATGTGCCACGTTCCGGAACTAACGTGAAGAGCAACATTTCTCTTTCCCTTCACTTAAGGCAACCAAATCAACAATGCGCATATGACTCATTATTTATTTAATGACTGGCTGTATAGAGCACCTGAATATACATGTACGTGCTAGTTAGGATTAATTCCTAAAGCATCCACAAAGCTGCATATTTTTCGATTCTGTTTTAACGTGACGGCGAAAAACCATCATATTTGGGTGACCAAAGAAATCGCGAAAGGTACAACTAAAATAACTAATAAAAATTCAGGGCCTGACTGCGGATCGACCCGAATCATTTGCGCCGCAAGTGGGTGTTCTACCACACAGCCATGCCTCTGCTTGTGAACACTGTGAAAATATCGTCCCCTGCCTAAAAATGCAGCGAAAGTAACTTCCTTGCTTTACAAACACACGCGTCCTGTATACAAGCTTCAGAACTCAACACGAAACATTGCCCTAGTAATGCGTCGTACAGGCTATCGTTGCCATCGGCGTCAAAACATGGGATTATCATAATGACTTCATGGTTTAAAACAAGTCGCCCACTCCAAGAAGCACCCACGCAAGTGCACCCTTAATGACACATAGTGGGTGGGTAGCAAGTTTGAGAAAAATTCATACGCTAAGTGTTTGACGTACGCACAAAGACCATCATATCGCTTTCGCGCTCATCTCTTAAAGACAAGGCTTAAGTGTCCCCCAACTTTTTTATGATGTGTCACCGGGTAGCTTAAACTTATGTTTTGCAGATTTGGCGCATTGCAGGTTGTGCATCACAGTGCGTGCCTCGGGGAAGGTACTGGGTCTGCCTGAAAAGTTCCCGGAAGTATTTTTGGCAGTTAGCAACCTGGTTTTGGTGAAACTTCAGGTGCCGAAGTTAGAAGGGGACGTCAGCTTCAAATGAGCCTAGTTTTGGTAGCCTGCGGGCCGTTGATGAAGCATTTCAAGCCATTTTGTAGATGTGTCTACAACACCTTTCTCAAGAAGGATTGTACGTGTTTTTGGAGCAGAATCACACAAGCAACTTGTGAGTGAAACTAGTAAATAAATAGGAGGCTCATTGAAATGTTCATTAAGCTAGTAAAAGCCAAACAAGAGCTCCATGTAAATTTCAATAGCCCATTCGGGGACCACCAAGCAACATTTATAACTAGACTAAAAATATCTCTCACGCATATAGCGTAAAATCAAAATGTACTTCATTATTTTATGCCTCGTGCGCAGTGCTTGTCGCGCCGACACATAGTTGCAAAGCTGCGCTAATTTCAGCTTCTACAAATGATTTTCGGAAGTTTACACAAGCGCAGCTTACTTATCATCGTGTGCACAGTCTTGCACTTTAAAAACCAACGACTTCAAAAAAAAAAAGATGCTTCTATTTATCTTACTTACGTGCTGTTTACTCTGCTTACAAAGTTTATCAAGCCTGCATAGTAGTCCGGGCACTCTAGTATAACCCGAATGTCGTCCTTTAAGGTTGCGTTGATGTCACGTAGCTCCTTTTCAAGCATAAATCGTAAGGAAAACTGCGATTAGGAGAAGATTGCAGTGAATCACATCGCTCGTATTTCGGAAGCCTTGCTGACTGCGGTCACTTAACATTAGCTGCATGCGAACAGTTTGTGTTAGAAAACAAATGAGCACTAGGTGATGCCACCTAATTAAAAGCGAACGAAAGAAAAGTAGAGTAATATTCAAATAATAAGGCAACGTTCTATAACACAGCCCCTGAGTACCACCACATTTATTTGAAACAAATATTTGCAAAGCATTACAAGCCAGAGTTATGGTTACATACAGCTGACAAATAATACTATACTTTCTTTCACTAAGGTAAGCTTAACCACAGCAAAAACAAGTAACTTCATAACATACCATAGCTGTACATTAAACTTCTTTTAAAAATACATTAGGATAACAAATAAACAATGTCTTGGCACTGAGAATTTCGAAACTCAATATGACGGCAGACTTGCTTCCATGATACCACATTTTTAGCCCTTTGTTACACGTGTGTCCTGTCTGAAACTGCAACCGAAAACTGCCTCTGGTGTTCGGAGGGACACGCGTAGACTCAGAGAAATTACTGGCCGCATGACACAGAGGATAGCACCGCTATAATTTGTTTGTTTTATTTAGAGCTAAAGGATTGGACTGCCTGTTTTTTTTTCTTGCCTTGTTTGTTGGCTGTCATCGCTTTTGGCGTACATGCACTTTATTCGTCGCACGCCACGAGTGTGATATAAGCATTCCTGCAACGCACGTAGATCACATGCGTACAGATGAGGTGATAGGACGATTTCTCAGCTGATCGAAAAAAAGTTTAACGTACTGCTTCCATATTAGGACGGGCAATCTCCGTTCGCATTTGCCCTCTTCATGCGCAGACGATGCATTTTGGCTTAGCTTTCTCACTCACATTTGGCACTGTATTTTTCACTGAAAACTTCAAATGGGCTGACGCAGTGCGGTACACGAGTACAGGGGGCTGACGGTGTTCCATTTATACGCACAAAATATTCACATGGTTCATGGCCTTGTTGCAGTATAAACGCTGAAGTCGTATTTCTGGAATTCGCAACTAACTGCTTTCACTGCAACCGTGTGTTAGTGTCGTATTGGTCTATTTTCCTGATTCACCTGATTCTCTGGTTGATCAGGTTGAAGTCTCGCCTGTGTCAGGACAGCTATATTTAAAGGCGCCACTCACCTCGGGGGAGTGGAATGGATGTGGTTGGATAAAACATTTGCTTTTGTGATGCTTACCAGTGTGGACGCATTTCTGGTGTCTCTGGCTCCAACACGACTTGCGTCGGACTCAACCACTCATGTTTTAATATGGCAGGTTGTACACACGTCTATGCTCTTCCGCCTCCAAAACTTGTCGTTCTCAAGAGTCGCAGCAGAACATATTTACTCGCCCAGTACCAGTAATGGTAAGCGCGGAGTGATTCTCGTCCAAGAATAATGAGATCTTTGAACTCGGAACGTATCTAACAAAATAAATAATCACTTCACATCATTGAAACTACGTGTTCAATGAGCGGGAACTAACCTAGTTGATTCCAGTACGAGTAAGTCTGCCTACTCGTAAGAGGCAGATTACATACTTCCACTGGCACTGTATTTACAGCAACAGTGATATCTGATAAGTCTACGTGTCCGAAAAGTGTACTGTAATGAGCTAAAAAGTGAGCAGCAATGCTCAAGAGTTAGTAATTTTTTGTGTGGTGTTTTGTGCATCAACCCGTTTTATTTTGCACCCCATGTAACAGAGATCAAAGGGACAGGACTTGTAGAGCTATTGCGTTGGTTTATGAAATTGTTGTGAGCTATCCGGGCATGGAAAGAGCCTTTTTATAAGATGCACTCAACCGACATCACTGCTAGAATAAAAGTGAAAGGTAAACATTCTGCCCCGTGCAGCCTTACAGTCATTTTTTATCAGATTTGTACGCTGCATGAAAATGACCCATTAGATGAATATCGATCGCATATGATTACCGCAGAAGTTTGAGACATTGTGCGTTAGAGCTTCTGACATGAAAAAAATACTCAGACTGTGCCTCAAATGTTACGCCACCGTCTTATTCATTGTTCGAGTTATGGTCAAGATTTTCCTATGAAGGACATGATCTGTACGTATCATGTCACAGTATATTAAAGCACTAAACAAGTTTGGTAGCCTAGAACTTACGTGAGTTGAAGCGGCTGTCCCATTCTCGGATGTCATGTTTATTTCGATTGGTTTCCCAACCGCCTGCTTAGAGAGCTGAAAAATAGCCACGTAAGAGTATAGAATTACCAATGAAGAACGTCGTGAAATAAACACGCAAATAGAGTAGTTAAAAATGCAAAACAGTACTTAGGTGCCCGATATCTTTTTTCAGTTTCTTACCTTTGAAAACGCCCGTTCAAAAGTCAGAATGTCTTCCGCAATTATCATACTTTGGTTCTTCGTCACATTGGCGCTCGTAAGTCTAAGTATTTCAGCAACTATTTTTTTACAGCGGCTGTATTGCTTTGTGGATATGTTTTCAGCACTCTCTTGTGATTGCTTGGATTCACTGAACTTTTCTCGTGACGACAGTGACCTGAATTTTTCGGATGCGCAAGACAGAAGAAAGAAGTCAGTCCGCTTCGTAATCTGCAAGATAAAAAGGTTGTTTAACTTGTGAAACCAGTTGAGAAATAGTTGGATATGACTTTTAGCTGGAGTAAGCATTTTCAGAAGTGCACATATGTTCGTTTAGGCAGCGATTGAAATAGCGAGAACATACCAACGCATTTTTGTCGTATGGTCTATTATCCATCAGTGAAAGAACAGAAAGCATTTCTGGAGTGCGTAAAGTGTGGACGATCAAAAGACAATTATCAGAGTGCGCAGCCGCTGGTGCTAAAAGCTGTCCAGTCTGTGGTTATTTTTGGTGCCATCAGGTGCCTTGCGTTGCCTTCCAAACAATGCGCTCACGTTGAAAGCGTTTCCTCCACATTCCACTCACCTGTCGCAACACGCGATGCTTCTGGAACTGGCCGGCGTGCGATATGCGGCATCGTAGCGCTGAGCCGGCGACACGAATAGCCATGCAATAAATAGGTGTTCATCGGGTGCAGTTACCATATGTCACTAGCGATGTCACTCGTACAGTCACCCACAGCAGCAGCCACGCAGTAGGACTAAAGCGTTTTCATGGATGAGCACTACAGCGCCACCTCGGCACGCTGAATGAGCGCCGTGCTGATGACATCTCCGTGGTATGTCACTCTCTGCTGGTCGTGGGTATGGCTACAAAGACGGACATTCCAAGGAGTGGTTTATACAGAATTCTTGCTACAACGTATGCTGTACAGTTCGAATGGGACTATACTTTTTCAGAATGCTTCGAACTTTACAAAAATAGTGATTTTTTTGTCCTCTTAATGTTTGTGCTGCCTCAATAGAACACATTTTCACTGGTCTGATAAGCCGGGATCACTGGTCTGACAAGCCGGGATCATATTTCACCTATGGGACTGCATAAAGAAGTCGAATTATTTTTCTCGACCGGGCGTGCTAGTGACCTAACTTCATTAGTGAAAAACACCTAAGGATTCATTAAAGGACAAATTCGTCATGCTACGCCGTAATTTAAAGTACTATTGTGTAAATAATATAGCAGACCTAAAAAAATACCCCGCCAATATTTCGAACTCTTGATAAGCATATATTATAACTGCACTGGAGTAAGTTCAAAAACTTGTGACAAGATTCACCCAGTCATTATGGTGATATAATATTTACTTCATCAAAGTGGAATGTGCCTTGGATAATCAATCTTTGTCACGTAACCTGGTTGTCACATCTTCGTGTTACCGTAAGAAATTCATTTTCTCCATCTACCTGAGGCTACAACAAGCCACCCCACAAGGCTGTTGCCATGACAACTCGATTGTTCTTAAGAACACGAGAACTCGTGTTTGAAACCAACAGCTGCTTTTTACTGTTTAAGAAAGCTGATAACTTCCTATGTATTATCCCAAGTAGAGTATTTGTAAAAGTAAAAGAAAAAAGAAGAAGAAATTGAAGTGACGCTTACTATGATTGTCCATTTGCTGCTGGGCTTCCTTGGTTCCAGTTGAACGCTGTAGTCGAAAAAAGGGCGCAAGCCGATTTCGCTTAAAATATTGCCGATGGTCTCGTCAGTTCCATTAGTAGGCTCTTTGCTTGATGAATACCAGTCATGAAAACCCAGCTGACGAAATATTCTCTGCATAGATTCATGGAGCCTCAGGCTGTCGTTTCCTAAGAAGAGTTTGGTAGAAACATTGTTATAGGATGTTTAATTGTGTGACGAATTGAAAGCATTTTTACGCGCTGCACTAAGGCAAACAGGAAATGGTACAAGTGATAAGGCAGTGTTTCCTTATAACCTTTTTACAAATGTTCTCTGTCCAACACTAGAGCTGCCAAAATATATACTGTAGAAATTCATCGACTAAACCGTTATCGTGTGTGCCGTAATTAATTATAAGTGGTCCGTGGTCGTTAGCATTCATTTTTCTTTAGCCTGAGCAGTGCAATGAAAGAGTGGTTGGCATTGGTTGCCGTGTATATAAAATTAAGAGATGTAGCACATCGAGAAGACTTCATGTATTCTGTCGAAGTTTCGGGCAGAGGATGTCCTTTATCAATACAAGATGATCAAGAAGATAAAGGTTGGGCTCTGTCCAAAACAAAACGTCACCGTAATTGAAGTCTTCTTGAAGTGCTACCTCCAAGGCTTATATATATATGGTACTTAACACCAACCAGTACTTCAACCATTTATATATATATATATATATATATATATATATATATATATATATATATATATATATATATATATATATATATGTATATATATATATCAAAGGAGAAATGCATTAACTTGCAAAACAATTACCAAATGCCCTGTCAGAAGTGATTGACGACAAAACAGTGTGTGAGTATTGCTTCATTGATGTGTATCAGAAGATGGAAGTTTCGCGCTTGATCACCAAAAAGCTTACCTTCATTTATGCATGACATGTAGGCGCTAGTAAATTTCCCCACCGCAGTGGATTTTGTGCTTCCTTTGGCATTAGGGCTCTTCAGAATTCCTGAAAAAATAACCAGAGAGGGTGCCCTCAGAGTTCGCGGTATATATTTTTTGCCCTAATGTGTACTACTACGACCAGAGTAATATTTGAGATAGCATTTCACACAAGAATGCGACAGAACAGATAATAGTAGTTTTTTGATTGTTCGAAAGTGTCGCTATGGCCATCAGAGACTACCCTAAACTTTCCAATACGATGACCCATAACGTTGAAATATGTAAAATCATCAAGAGTGACCAAAATATTTATTTATTTTTCTATTTATGGTACCTTACAGGCCCCGAAGAGCATTTAATGGGGTGGGGGCGGTCTTATGAAAAAATTACAATAAAGGAAGCACAAAAAGAAACTACGTCGAGGATGAAACGAAGAAAATTCTACAATGAAAAGGAAAGAAGAAACATTATTAAACAATGCAGTAAAATACAATGTCAATAATTAAAACACATCTTTATAGAAAAGTAATCGAACATATAAACATGCAAATTCTCTTGAAAATTCACAGGGTCTCTGAACGATAGACTTTAACCAGTAAGACTATTCCAAAGTGCAATAGAGCGCGGAAAAACAGAGTTACTGAATAACTGTGTGTGGCCGAAGATGCGTCTGAAACCGAGACTATTATGAAGATGACGTGATGTATATATGTGAAGGAATTTAAATCGATAGACGACTGGTCCACGAGTTGTAATGATACTTATAGAAGATGCAAAAGAGGGTGACAGAGCAGCGGGAATCTAAGTTAGGAAAGGTAATATAAGGTAATATCATTTTTGATTAGAGTGATGCTGGAACAGTGATAGTACTGTCAGGTTATGAAGCAGGCCGCACAATTTTTGATCGATTCTACTTTACCTATTACGTAATGCTGACAAGGAGATGAGATCGATGAAGCATATTCCAGTTGAGGGCATGAAAAGGTTAGATAGGCATGTTGCTCAGCAGATGATGAGTGATGCAGATTTGACGCTAAATATAATGTTGAATGAATGATGAAAAAATGACGCCAAATATATTATTGCTCGCACAGACATATGCTGAAGAGTTGCAGATGTTTATGTAACCAGTTCTTTGCACTTGTGTAACAATGTAAACTAAAACGTGCGTACTAGCAACACCAGAAGCTGATATGAAGCGCTGATGCCCGCGACGATGCTGGCCCAGGAAAGTGCTACATAAATCAACTTTTTCGCATGGCAACTAGCCACAATTGACGTTAATGCGATGTGACGGCTGTATCAAAGAAGTGCATACTGCAACTACTATTGACGTTTCACGAAGACTAGCGTCTATTTGAAATGTAGTTCCGATACCTGGCGTATATTTGCGATAAAATACTTCATTGCCACGCTGAGTGCTTGGGTTTGATTCCAGCGGAGATCCTTGCACTTGTTCTATGCCTTCTTGGGGTTGACCGTACCGATATCGGGTATTTGTTAAAGTTCGCTCGTTAAAATTACCCATGTGTGTTCTCGTCGTTCATGGGTAGATACTAATTGTCAATCACCTCAAGCACATGCCCGCATACCAGCGGCACATACCCGCTCATGAGTATGTGGCCCTGTCTGGCAAGAAGTGTTTGACGACGTACGCGACGGGATGGTGACATTATTCATGTCATGACCAGCACATCGTATCCGTCAAACCGTCTTACCATCTCATGCTGGTTTTGGTTCACGCCAAATTAGGAGGGTCACTACAAGAGCACCCAAACGCAAGCGGATAGATAGATAGATAGATAGATAGATACGTACGCTCGATAGATAGATAGATAGATAGATAGATAGATAGATAGATAGATAGATAGATAGATACGTACGCTCGATAGATAGATAGATAGATACGCTCGAAGTCGCCGAGGTTCGCTAAGAAATGCTCCGCATTTGAAAGTTCTATGGTGAGGCGCAACAAACACATCAAAACAGTGCCAGTCCAACAAGCACAATAGCATAAACCAATGAATGATTGAAAAAAAACCGACACTAATGCTACAAAACCGTACACTGGGTACCTGGTGTATATGGGCACTGGATCTTGACCTTGAAAGTAGTGCCGTTGGAAGGTTTCTCCTGTACGTTGTCGAGCAATAAAAATAAGCAGCATACGCGTTAACTATAGGCGCACTGCGGGTTTCTATCTCCAATGATAGTCTGCTGTCTTTCATTGACCACTAGCGGCACTCGGCATGGTCCAGTAGGAAACACCGGTCCATCACTAGGTGCCCTGCGCCTCCCCAGGTTTCTCTCTTGTGCTACGCCGTGATGAGCGCCAGAGCCAACATCACCGGCAGTGTAAGTGTTTGTGCCCGATGTTTCACATCTACACATTTTTTCTCTAGTGGGATATGGCGTGAAGTATTGCTTTATTGCCTTGGTGTACCGCTTTCTGAAAGATGAAGCGAGGGTCACGCAAACTTCGGATTTTAAAAATTTTGTTATTCGCTCTCACGCAGCAATGATTAAGTCAAGGAAGTTTGTCATCCCTTGACCCCACAAGGGTAATCTGCTACATATAATTGCGGGGTGTGCAGCTTGCGGCTTGCAGTGGAACAATGTGCTCTTTTAGGCACGACATCAGACCAGTCCACCTCAGTCGTTGCCTTGTCACTTCCTATGTAAGGACGAGCTTTGCAGTTTCGACGTATAACTGGGTAAGGTAGGAACATAAATATCGCTTCTATTTGACGTTGTTTCCCATTAGCACACTTAGCCAGATAACGTTTTACGATGAATTGAAATTTGAACATTTTATCATCTAAGTTAGTATTTGTTTTATTCATTAGTAGCTACTGATAAGTAGAGATCATAGAAAACAAATAATGCGACTAAATCGATTTCTTTTTCTCTGCCGTCCCACCATCTATGCGTCCGTGCGAACAATGCAGGGTCAGTTCCGTACAAGCCACCTCAATTGCACTCCGCCTGAAAGGGTTGCTGCCGCCTGACTTAGTTCCTTGTGTCTGTGCTAACTGGAATGAAGCGGAATGCAGCCGTTCATGCAATCTTATTCTGCTTCTCGCGTGCCACTCAAGTCTTTCGCCAGGTGGCCAGAAATAGGTGTCGGACTATAAAGGCGAAAATTGATTACATGACACTTTAGAATAACGCCTATATAGCTCAAAGAATGATGACACAGATGGTGTTTTTACTTAAAAGCTTGCTATGGAATTTCTTAACGATAGCCTGAGGGCACTTATTTGTTCATGGATCTACATTTGAATTTCCACTTTGTTTGCACAAGCATAGGCCACTGACAACATCGGGATTGCAGAATTCAAGAAGACACTAATTATCGAGAAAAATACTCCTAAGAGAGTTCGCCTATTATGTATAAATAAAATTTCACCTTACTCTGCTCTTGCTGCATCCTAAGTACACGAGTATAATGATATGAAATGGAGAGTGGTGACAGAGATTTTACAAGCAATTTGACCTGCGATAATGTTAGTGAGAAAACCGAGACACACAGGACACATAGGCAGCTTTAGAAAACGGCTCCTAATTACGAAGCCTAAGGCATTAGTAATATAGCATTTATGCAATGGTGTCTGCCTCCCCAAATCATGAGAAAACAGGTGTTATTTCGCGCAAGCTGAACAACACCTGTTTTAAAATAGGAACCTTTAAATGCCTTAAAATAGTAACCTTATAATCTGGCATATTATGTTTAGACTACATAGTAAGTTAGACAACATTTTGGCTACTTACGCAATAGGGATTCAATTGCAGAGTCCTTAACCTTTGATGGCGGCAATTCCGTGTTCTCTGCTCGTTTTTCGCATACAAAGTCGAAGAAGTTATCGCAAGGTGTTGACTTTCCCAAGCCGTCACTGATTATATCCGCTAGAGAAATGTGTCATTTTTTGCGAGTAAGAAATGAGCCATGTAAAGTAAACATCCTACCAGCACAATAGAACAGTAATATACTCTAATCTCATTCAGTGCGTTAGTACAACAAAAGTATTTTTTCTACGTTCTGTTTATAGAAATAATGTCCAAATATCTGCACTGACTGGGTATTTGTGGATCAGGACAGTTTGATGCATCTAAACGGTGCACACGATGATCATGGCCAAAGAACACGCCTGAATGATTAAGTTTCTCAAATAATAATGGTGGATTTAACTAGTTTTGGTGTATCGCAATAATCTTTATAATACGTACTAATATTTCTTGAGCCCCTAAAGACAAGCAAGATGTTTATGTTTCGGCTGCAACACTTATGCCAACGTCACTCAATCCAACGTGTGTTTTACTAGCTCTTGTTCGCAGGAATTTTGTGCTTCTCTTTGGCCTTCTTATGACGAACACATACTTCAAAATCTTTCTGCCTTTACATACAAAAAATACAAAAATGTCGCTTACCAATAGCTATGCACTGCGGCTTCCAACAAATATCACGAAACTTGGATGACCTTGTGCGTTCTACAGAAAAAAATGCAGCCAGAACGTTAGCCACCCAGAGAATACAGATACATTGCCACGCTTTTAAAAACATACCATAAAATGTCGTCGCAATACTTAATAAACAATTCAATTTTGGGCTTACTAACATACGCAGGCACTAAGCTGATTTCATACACTTTGTTTATCTGTCTGTTATGTGTGTTCTCAATCTGTTCAACGATTTTAGTGCACGACATATAGAAAAAGTGAACAAACAAGAGCAGTGGGCGAGCCAGTCACTTCTCGTGCTTATATCAATGCGGTACTTGAAGTGAGACTGCGTCATGAGTAAGGAGAAGACGAAGATGAAGAAGTGGGAGGACGAGCACGTGGAACAGGCATGAGTGCGTGCAGGCCGTAGCACATATCTCCAAGTAAGTAACACGAACCATATTGAAAGAAGAATGGCCGTTGAGCTAGCATGGCTTGCTTGGTTAGGTCAGAAGACAGTCGCATCGGTAGCTGCGTTCTACCGACGGGGGCAGCGGACGTTCGACGCCGGAAGCCGAGACACTGGCACTCCGTGGCGTGGCTGTTGATTTCGGCGACGCTCGGGCAAGGCTTCACGAAGAGACCAAAACCACTGTTACACCAAGGCGCACTGGCATACTGTGTGCTTTGTGTTGCAGACGAGGAAGAAGTTTCGATGGAAGCCGAAGAGCTGACATGACTGTTCACTTCAAAATTTTCAGAGCACTCGTCACTATTCTGAGATCACGAGTAACTTGAAGGGATATTACAGAGGACCTTTGTGTTTCCTCTTTACTGCAGAAATGTCATGGTTGATGTGTCCCATGTGTTGCACACAAGAAAGCACCCTCATCATATGAATATAGTGTGTTAGCGTGTAGTGTTAACAAGAGAAGCACGAATGAGAATTCGCCCAATTTCTGCGCCCCATACGCGTTATATAAATATTGTTTCGTAAAATGAGACAAAACGTGACTATTTGGCAGTGTATTTACTCCGATAAAATCGGAGCGCAGCACACAGAGCGAGAAAACCAGTTATCTTCATTGTCTTCGGATCACAGAATGGTTCACCCTTCATGCGATAGCTACGTAGAATTACTCCCCGGTTGTAAAGCACCAAGTCGGTGCACTTTACACGTGTTCTTAAGAAGCAGGGCGATGTGGTTTCAACCTACTGACGTCGACTACGTAACTGGAGTGTTTGCAGACATGTTAGTCCCGGACACATGAATGACCTCGTAGGTAATGTCTGTTGCCTGTTCTCTGGTACGGAAAGGTCCCTTGTACGGAGATAGCAACTTCTCTGACAATCCAACACGACGAACTGGGTTCTGGAGAAGAACTAGAGAACCAGGTGAGAGGTCAACGTCGACATGCTTGCTGTCGCAGAGGGCCTTTTGGGTTGCTTGTGAAGCAAACAGCCTAGAGTGGGCAATCTGACGTGCGTGGTCGGCACGAGCGATAGCATCACGTGCGTATTCGCTCGGCGGAGGTGTAGTAGTTGGTAGTAGGGTGTCCAGTGGTAAGGTCGGATTACGGCCATAGAACATATAAAAAGGTGAATAACCTGCTGTATCATGACGAGATGAATTATAGGCGAACGTCACGTGAGGTAGTGCTAGATCCCGGTCATGGTGATCAGATGAGACATACATCGAGAACATGTCCGTGAGGGTGCGATTTAGGTGTTCGGTAAGGTTTTGTTTGAGGATGGTAGGAAGTGGTTAGTTTGTGTAGCGTTGAGGAAGAGTGCAAAAGGTCGTCGAGTACGCGTGACGAAAATGCGCGTCCACGATCGGTGAACAAGTGCCGAGGAGTGCCATGATGTAGAATTACACATCGTGGAGCAAAAAGTCGGCAAAGTCAGTAGCATTGCTGGTGGGCAGCGCTCTAGTGATGGAAAAACCTGGTCGCATGGTCTATAGCAACAGCGATCCACTTGTTCCCAGAGTTTTATTCAGGAAACAGTCCGAGGAGGTCTACACCAACACGGAAGAAAGGTTCGGTAGAGATGGAGATCGGGTGAAGGAGTCCAGCGGGGGATGCGGCAGGTTACTTTCGACGTTGGCATTTATCGCAGGAGGCCACGTAGCGTCGAACAGACCACGTGAGACCACGCCAAAAGAAGCGTTCCGGACGCGATCGTATGTGCGAGATACATCCTAGTAGCTGGCAGTTGGTTCATCATGAAGCTCATCCAGGACTGCTGAACGGAGATGGTTAGGCAAGACTAGAAGTAGCTCAGGGCCATCTGGCTGGACGCTACGACGGTACAGCGTGCCATTTAGGAGAACGAACATGCGGAGTGACACGTTGTTAGTGTCAGATTCCAGACGGGCAATGAGTGAGCGCAAGGAAGGATTGTGACCGCAAGGAAGAATAGTGATGCTGTTCGTCACTAATCTGACGAAACCTAGACATGGACATGAAATTGGGGCCAGGCTCGCCGACCGATTCTAATGGTTGGTCAACAAGGTAGTGGAACAAGCAATCGGCGTCCTTGTAGGCAACTACAAGGACGGGCTTGTAGGCAACTGAGTAGGAGTACTCCTGAAGACGCAACGCCCAACGACCAAGTGGCCCAGAAGGGTCCTTCAGTGAAGAAAGCCAGGCGAGGGCGTAATGATCTGTGACGACAAGAAGTAGGAGTACTCCTGAAGACGCAACGCCCAACGACCAAGTCGCCCAGAAGGGTCCTTCAGTGAAGAAAGCCAAGTGAAGAGGGCGTGATGATCCGTAACGACAAGGAATGGGCGGCCATACAAGTAAGGGCGAAATTTTGAAACTGCCCAGACAAGGGCAAGGCATTCTTGTTCTGTTACAGAGTAGTTACGCACATACTTTGAAAGGAGACAACTTGCATATGCAATTACACGATCAGTGCCCCACTAAGTTTGGGCCAAAAATGCGCCAACGCCGTGACCACTAGCGTCTGTCCACCCTTCTGTAGGAGCATTTGGGTCGAAATGTGCAAGTATCGGTGGTGTCTTTAGAGTGGTGATTAGTCGAGAGAAAGCGTCGGCTTGAATAGGACCACAACAAAATGGGACGTCGTGTTTGAGAAGGTCTGTGCAGTGGGCGTGCGAGTACCGCAAAGTTTTTTTACAAACAGGCGAAAGTGAGAGCATAGTCACACAAAACTGCGAACATCATAGATAGAGCGTGGAACGAGAAAGTTCGTTACTGTGCGTACTTTAGCCGGGTCTGGTCGTACACCGGAAGCATCAACAAAGTGGCCCAACACAGTTATTTGACGAAGACGAAAGCGGCAGTTCGAGGAATTCAGCTGGAGGCCGGCATGTCAGAATGCTGATAAAATGGTCGAAAGGCGTTAAAGGTGTGTGGCAAAGGTGGGTGAGAAGATAATCACGTCATCTAAGTAACACAAGCACGTCGCCCATTTAAATCCTTGAAGCAGCGTGTCCATCATTCTCTCGAAGGTTGCTGGGGCGTTGCAGAGACCAAACGGCATGACCTTGAATTGGCAAAGGCCATCCGTGGTAACGAATGCTGCAATTTGCCAGTAGCCAGATCGGAGGTCGAGGGATGAAAAAAAAGGTGGCGCCATGAAGACAGTCAAGTGCACCGTCAATACGTGGAAGAGGATACACATCTTTCTTGGTTATTTTGTTGAGGTGCCGATAATCAATACAGAAACGCCAGGAGTGGTCTTTCTTCTTTACCAAGGCCACTGGAGGCCCAAGGGCTTGACGATGGTTCGATGATGTCTTTCGATAGCATGTTGTCCACTTCCTTCTGAATCACTGCTCATTCTGATGCGAACACACGGTAAGGCCGACGCTGGATAGGCACAGAATCACCATTGTTGATTCGGTGCTTGACAATATTGTCACGCAGCAAAGGACGACGCAGTTGTATATAAGGAAAACAAGTTTATTGGGGCGAACCTGTGCTCCCCTAACAACTGAAAGAATACACAGGCGGCGAAGCAGCGGCCGGCAAAACGACGTGCACGCTAGTGAGCATCGGCGATCGAATGTCGCGGCATCGGCTGTGCGGGAATTTATATCCCTCGGCGCGAGGGTTTCTCGCATAGTCGAATTGTATCGAGAACGCTGTGATAGCGTTTGTTCGAAACGCTGTTTGTTCGGAACGCTGGAAACGCTGTTCGATAGCGTTTGTTCGAAACGCTGTGAAAACAGTGATAGCACAGGCCGGCGCAGCCAGGCCGAAAAAGCAAAACACAAATAAACAAACCCAATGCATAGTTCGCGGCATTAACCCCCCCTCCCTCCTCTAAAAGTGCATCGACCCGATGCTAACATAAGGGACAGTCCAAACAAATTAAAATAAAAGTTCGTCATCATCCATAGAAAGGTTTTAAGTGAACCACATGGACGACTTCGGGCCGTGTGCGTCGTCGTGATGTACGGGAGTCACCATCGGGGATCACTTCGTACGTTCGCCAACACGTCGTAGAATCCGGTAGGGTCCAAAACAGCGTCGTAGAAGTTTCTCACTGAGTCCACGTCGCCGAATGGGAGTCCAAACCCACACACAATCTCCAAGATGGTACTCGGCGTCTCGGCATCGGAGATTGTAGTTTCCGGCATCCACGAGTTGCTGGTCCGTTATACTAACTCGAGCGAGCTGGCGGGCCTCCTCCGCACGTTGGAGGTATCCTTGGACGTCGGCGTTGAGGTCGTCGTTTTCTACGTGCGGAAGGATGGCGTCGAGCATCGTAGTCGGCCGTCTTCCGTAGACGAGCTCGAACGGTGTCATCTGCGTGGTTTCTTGGATAGTCGTGTTGTACGCAAACGTGACGTACGGGAGGACTACGTCCCACGTCTTATGTTCAACGTCGACGTACATAGACAGCATATCCGCGATTGTCTTATTCAGCCATTCCGTTAGTCCGTTCGTTTGGGGGTGGTACGCTGTCGTTCTTCGGTGATCTGTGTTGCTGTAGCGTAAGATTTCTTGCATGAGCTCCGCAGTTAAGGTCGTTCCGCGGTCCGTGATTAGGACCTCAGGGGCTCCATGCCG